GTATGATGATGGTATCTTAGTCTCAGGAATTGTTTATTGCTATCTTGGTGTATGTGTTTTCCTGCTATATATAACAAGTACTCCATAATAAATGCTCTGCTTTTCTATTTCATATCTGAATCTTTAAATACTTTTTAGAAAAACAGAAAATAGCACTAGGTGCAGCGTGAAAAGCTCTACAATCAAATAAAGCAAAGCTTATTTTAATTGTGTGCTTGGTCTTTTCAAAAATAATGGCGTAACCAGGATTTTGGCAGTGATAGGGCATCGTATCGCTTAAATATCTGGTAATTAGGCGTAGGTGAACGATGTCTGTGGAGCAGTTGGGCTCATACAGAAATTTAGCTGACAAAACTAAGATGGGCAGCTGGACGGCGCCCAATCATGCCCTACCATAGTTATGGCACTATTCAAAAGAAACGACATTCTGTGCAATCAATTTTCGACGCTACACACATCGGTCTCACAGAATCTTGCTTCTTCTCAAAGCACAAAGTATACGATTAAAATAGACTTTATTTTACAGATCGTTGAGCTTTTCACGCCGCATCTTATGGTTTATTCGATAGTGTTTGAAGAGAACGCATTAGGTGATAAAACATAAAATAGAAGAAACAAGAATGCCCATTTTGCAATTGTAAAAATTGATGAAATAGAGTTTTACTGTTTTCCAAAACAAAACGTTCACGATTAAAATAAGCTTTACTTTGAAAACTGTAGACATTTTCACGCTATATCTTATGGTATACCCGGTTTTAAAAGAAACATATTTACAGAGAATATATGAAATACAAAAACCGGCCATTTATTATGAACACCCGTTAGAATAATATTATGAAATTGAGACTGATGCTATCGTAACTGTGCAAACACTTGTTAGATCTAATAGTGTTCCAAGACCAAAATTAAAGAAGTAAGTCTACAAGGGCTGGCCAGAGGTAGACAAAATTGAAGGTTGTCGCAATTTTTTGGGAGATTGTCCCAGATTTTCCAATAAAAATAATTTTTTTAACAGAACGCAAAAAAATTCGACTTCGCTGAAAAAGAACAAAAATTTTCAATTATAGGAAGGTTGTCACAACATCCACAGTCCCCGGGTAGGGTCAACCCTGAAATCTATTCAATAAAAAGTGCATAAAATAATTAAAGTGAGCTTAATGCACTACCAGAGGAGTTAATGCTCAAGCTTTACATACGGCATATTCGAGAAGTTAAGTTCTCGCGAAAAAAAAATTTTCCATCGAACTGAATGGGGGGCGGGGGATAGAACTCAGTTAACAGTTTATTGCTACCCCTATAAAACTGACCTTGCGCCGCCCATGACTGAGAATTTGATCAATAAGATTCGAGAGAAATTATTCGGTCATTGTACTAATGTAGCTTAAATACTTTCCTTTACGATTTGTATTACCTGAAATTCTGCATATTTTCTATTTCAAAATATTTTTCGAAATTTTGAATTATTCAAAAATCTCATCTATTACTAGCACATAAACAATGTCAAAGTAAAAAACAAAAATTTCTTTTAATTGGATTAAAATTTTTATTATACATATATATTTATTTATTTCGATAAATTAAACTAAAACATACAGGTGTCATCATAAATAGTAATCATTTTTTATAAGTTATATTTTTAAGCATTTGTGCATCAATTTTTCTTGTTATATCCATAGGATAATTCAGATTATTAAAATCTTCTTTAATAATATCAATTGATGTTCTTATTGATAATATTTATAAAATTTATGGTATATATTTAGGTCATAATTGTTTATTTAATGGTAATGGAAGGAATTGTTCAACTAATAAAACTAATAGAAGACCACTTTCATCTAAATGTATTCCTTCAGAAACGAATAAATGACTTCCAACTGATGTATGATGTATAAGATAAAATAAAAAATAATAATAATAATTGATAATGTGTTGTTATTGATGTAAAATGTTCAACATATAATTCATGATGATATATTAAATCACAATAAGATTGTAATTGACCACTGATAGATAAATGTATTCTTGATGATGGTGTCAATATTGGTGATCACCATGCTTCTTGTGTATAATCAAGTATATTCAGAATGTGTCCATTGTAATAATAATGAGATATAAAATGATGATCATAATAATTTAAAACATTCATTTAAAACAGTTAAATATGAAAATATATCAAGACGATGTACAGTTTCATCATGAATTCATAATTGATGAAAATCATTTACAATTGTTCGAAATTGTTTAGCCAAAATAAAATTATAGATCGTATATAAGCATAGGAATTTTAAAGTCAAATGTATTTCGCTAGCTCATTAGTAATTAATGAATTGCAGGAAAGTTTTATCTTCAAATTAATGGGTGATATGTACATAAAGATAATCGGATACAAGAGAAACTAATGTCATATTGATTTGACCACATAATTGTCAAGTATTAGTTAAAATTCGTAATATTACGTCATGTAAAATTCGAAGAAGAGCTCTGAAAACAAAAACGAGAATAATACTTGTTAAATTATAAATAAAATCATTTCGAATACTTACGCACTAAAAGTTTCATCTCGTGTTCCATGAACTGATAATAAAACATCATTCTATCGTGTTAATATAGCATCTTCAGTTAAATTTTGTACAAGACATCGAAGTATTATATATATTGATTAACTATCGATTTGTAGATTGACAATTGACATTCTAAAAAAAATTTTGCACTACAGAAAAATTTTATAAATAAAAACAACGAACATTTCTATTTACCGATGCTCGAAAAGCAATAACAAATGGATCAATTGATCGTAATGCAGCTGATGAGACAACATCAAATAATGTTAATTGTGTGGAGTAAATATCCAAAAGTGATTGATCCTATTTGAACAAAAAAATAACTTGAGATTTTAAATGAGCAAGAAGTAAATCGACAATTTGTCGTGAAAGACGTTCCCATTTATCATCTTCAATTTGAACACTATTAACAATAACTGTGAACAATCGTAAAGCCTATAACAATATAAATTCTATTATTATTTTTTCAGTACATACACATGACATGAAAAGATACTTTTATTTATAATAATTAAGACGCCTAGTTTTCCTTCAAACTCAAATACATAACAACAAGATGATTATTTTCAGATCATCAATTCTTTGAAGTGTGGGTGTGGGTTCAATCGAGGAGAAAAATTACATCTGCACACCCACATTCACACCCTCTCGAGTTTCTAAGATTTTTGAGACTTTATAGAAGGACACTTTTTGTTCACTCTCATTTAATAAAACTTTTTAGGAATTTTAATTATTCGCATAACTCGAACAAGAAAAAAAATCATATAAAACTGTTTCTAATGCTGCTAAAGCTAAATAAAGAATTTTAACGATAATTTCTTTTTCTCGAAAATGTTTTTTTTTTGCTTCCTACCATGTGTTTCAGATTCATGTCCACTTGCGAATAGTGAATCATAACGTTTTATTAAATCTTGTATTTTAATAACTCGTTTTGAATGAAGTGTATCATGTGATAACATAACAAGAAATTCAGCAATACAATAAATAAAATGCTATTTAAAAATAAACGAAACGATTAGAAATGCAACGAATTTCATCAGCTTCTAATCAACTATAATTAACACGAATTAAAAGTAATTGAACATGTAAATCGAGTATAGCAGCTTGAAAATCACTTTCATTTGTATATTAACATATTTTTTAAGACTAATTTTTTAGTTCAATAAAAACTATAAAATAGAAAACAAAAAACAGACAGAATAAATCAAATTCGTTTTTTTTTGTTTATTTTACTCTCGCATTGCACTATTTATACTTGATGCATAACATGAACCAAATAAAATAAATTATCGATTGTCGAAGACTTATTGTATGAATATAAGTTAAAGAATTATTTAATGATACTTGTGAGGAAATATTTGAAGATTTAATAAAAACTAAATTAAAAGAATATTTTTAAATGAATGTTGTGTTAACAGAAAAAAATGATTTTCAAATTTCGAATTGATAGCGTGTCTTGCAGATCACTGACGTCAACTAGATGATTCAATATTCGAATTTCAAGATAGAACCGAATCAAAAGATCTGACACTTTCACAACAAAACTACTCTTGTTAAGATCATCGATATTTGTAAAATCAGTTTTTCTGTTACTATGACATTCTTATATTGAAATTTTCCTTCTCTAGGAAAGACCCTTTCGGAAACCTTCATTATAAGATTTTCATCTAAAGTTTTATCCATAAACAAGTTTCAGACACAATACGACATCCTAAAGGTTTTAGCTTAACCCGATGAATAAAAAAGATTAATAATTGAAATTTTCTTTACAATAAATATTTACTATTTAAAGGAAGTTATCTCTTGTGTATATTGAATGTTGATTAAAAATAATGAAGTGCTTCTCTTCCAAATTTTTTTGATAAATCTTGTGTAGAAATAGGACTTACAACTGATTTCATAGACAATAATGATCATTTCTGATGAATTTAATAAACTTTTATGTATTTGATATGATGAACATATTAATTCGAATAATTTCCAAAAGTACCTAATTGTGTATGATTAACTTTTTTTATCTTTGTCTTTGATGTTGTTGATGAATCTTTTTCATTCTATTTAAAAAGAAAAAAACAAATGAATTCGTTCAGACGAAACTTGATCACATATATTCTTCAAATCTAACACTTTGGAACTCCTTTCTTCTGTGAAAACTGAAATATTAACTATATTCTGTCCAAAAGAATGATGATTATGCATATTTTTGCAATAGTTCGAGAACTATAATAAAACAGTTCAATTTTCGAATTACTTGAATCATTTGTGCTACTTTCAAAACATTTTTTCATTTGTTGAGATTTGATAAATCTTCAAATAAAAAGAAAGAATTCAAAAAAAAACATAATAAATATCTTTTTTTTTTCTTTACTTGAAAAGATTAAATTATTAAGATCATGGAATATGAAGGGATGTTTAAAAAAATGCATAAGTCAACGAAGTTCATCATATCGATTATGAAAAAATTGGTCGAATTGTTGTTGGTCTTAAAACATTTGAAAGAGCATAAATACCTTCTAAACATCCAACCTATATAAAAGACAAAAATAACAAACAATTTGTATTCGAGTTAATGCTTGAGCATGTAATGAATGATGAATTTTATATATCCATTGACAAGGTAAAAATGAATTGTGATCAACAAACCTTAAAATCAAAAAGTAACTAATAACTAACTTAACCCAATAAAATCGACTTATTCATCCAAATTCGAAAAAAGCTACGTAATTATTATCTCTACAAAATACATACTTAGCAAAAGTCGAAGCAGTTGCTTGACGAACACGTATATCAGGGTACTGTTGTCTTACTTGTTGTTGTTCAAGATAAGTTAATATTCGAAAATCAATATCATCTATAAGTTGAGCTAGACTAACCTATTTTATATACATACAAAAAAAAAATTATTATAATCATAAATTTCTTTTATTTACTTTAGCAAGAATACAGGAACTTGTAGTATGTTGAATAGAATCTTCTAATAATTCAATTCCTATGATTGTAAACGCATGACTATTAATTAATAAAAAAAGGTAATAATATTCGTAAAGCATTTAGTGAAACATGTATAACACGTGCATTATTATCATTAAGACATATAACCTTGAACTATCTTGTGAATCAGTTGATATAAGTGAACATTCATTAATAAAAGAATTATTAAATGAATTTGATAATGATGATAGTGTTAAAAGATGAATTGTTGTTTGAATTAATGTAACAAGTAAATTTGCACATGCACCACGTAAATGTAGATCACCGTATTCACATAAAGATAAAAGATATGTAATATCTTAAAGACAAGAAAAAAAAGATACCTTGATGTTCGATAAATTTTAATGTATTACAAGTCATATAGAGATGGGAATTTCATTTTTTCTCATTAGAGAATTCTATTTCAATTACAAAATTATATCCCATCAGAAATCTTCAAAGATTAAAGAAAACTTCTTAGAGGATACAATTGATTTCATATCTCGAACGTCAGTTTAGAACTATTTTTTGAGGTAATTGTGTGATTCGATAATTTCAATCTCTGATGTATTGATGCAGGCTTTGAGCTTCAATAAAATGTTCTACTTGATATCTTTTCGAGTCTGATAATGTTCTAGTCTTTTGTTGATTTCAAAAAAATTAAAAATAGGAATAGGACTAGAGCTGCTGAATCAATATTGAGAAATCTCCCTTCTTGAATTTTCAGACTCCAATATATATATATGTTTCAACAATTTAATAGTGAAATTGTCATATCTATCAGATAACTTTCACTAAAACTTTGAGACTTTAACCAATTGAAGCCACGTCAACTAAACTCTGTCACAATCCCCTTCACCTAGGCCCTCCTACTGTTACGATATTAGAAATAATTTTGGATTATTAAAAAAAATCTATTTCACTGAACTGAAACTTTACAAAAAGAAGCCTCAAACAAGCATTAAACATACTT